AGTGTTTGCAAAATCCTATTTCTTTCCTCTTCAGAAAAAGTGTTTGCAAGTCAGGAGCCATATTGTTAGGTACAAGTAGGCCGTGACTCATAAAAGCATATACAACACGATAATTTCTTTAATGTGCTGTGTTTGTCCCAACAGACTGACACAACTAACCCTCTGAAATGTGTCACTCTTAAAATAGATTGCTTTTAAACTGTTAATCTGGACTTTGAGGAGTCTTTGGCCACATGCAACAGAATCTGAAACTATGCCCCTGCACAGGCGTTTATGATCCAAGGGGTAGGTATTTAGTCTGTGAGCTCCCCTGGGCCAGGAATATCACCTTTTGTTAGTGGATTTATGTAGTTTTGTAAACAAGGAAAGTGTTAAGCCTATATAAATTGTGTATTTATTAAAATGATCTATTAATCGCTTTTCCTTCAAATAATTACATGTTTTCACTTTGACTCTAGCAACTTTGTTTCATTTTGGAAACTCCCTTCAGTTCCAAAAGACGTTTGCTATGTGGCATGGAAATAAATGCAAACCCTTGGGCAGTTTTTGTCACATGGTCATTGTAGTTGACAAGTGTTGATCATTTCACTGAAATTTTAAAATTATTGTTATCTGACCAGTTCTTTATCTGACCAATCATTGTCAAGGTAGACTTGGGAGAAGCCCTTAAGATGCTTATTCAACCTCTTCCTTCTATATAACATATTGACTGAACAATTGTTTTACAGTCTTCATGAGCACCGTTGTTTTTAATGATGTTGGATGTTTTTATTATGTATTATATGTTTTAATCATGGCATGGATGTACCTTGCCCTTGTGAGCCGCCCTGAGCCCATCGGGGAGGGCGGGATACAAATATGAAAAATAAATAAAATAAATAAAATAAATAATTCTTCCCCACAGACCTCTGCTGCCAGATTTATTTTCATTCTGTAGATGGCCCCCTGAGATCATTGGAGTTTGACCAGAAAACCAGGCAGGCAGCTCAAGATCTTTTGACTGGATTATTGGACACGTTAGTGTAAAAGTATGCAACGTTCCGTCTAGATATTTCACACACACACTGAATTCTGTGTAACACAAAAATCTGAATACTCTACACAAATAGAGGTTGCTGAATCTATACTTAATCCCCTCTACTTCTACCGTAGTCTAAACAGGGAAAATAACTTTTCCTCTATAATAATTGTCTCACTACAACTTATTTAACCAGTATTGTCTTCCATATATTCCGCTTCAAAGGGAAGACTATGTGGCCCAATCTAATCCTAAATATCTGCTGACTTTTATATCTCTTTGTGTGAATTCTTGCTGTCAATCTTCAAAGCAAATTTTTTTTTATCATTTGTGCAAATCTTTTAATATGTGAATAAGTTTACATGCATTTCATTACAGTCTGCAGGATTTGGCTACATAATGTCCAATCCAGCAAGGCTGTTCCACACACAAGTACAAGTTTCTGTGCTTAGATTTCCCCTATACTACTGCACAGATTGCTCTGGAGGGGAAAAGTGAACTGTATCCAGCAGTTGGGGTTGTGTGCTCACCCTGTGCGTAAGCTACCGAAGACATGATCGGCATTGCCATCTCTTTGGCTGCCGTCATCCCCCATTCAATATTATAGTAAGCTGAAGGAGGATGGGGTAATGCTCACAGTTCTCTGGGATAGAACATTTATCTGCTTATTTTTTTAAAAAAGTCAACTGTCCAGTGTTTACCCACTAAATATTTCCTTTTTAAAAAGCATTTCTTGCCTGTGTCCTCTCAACTCTGAAGCCTCCAAAGCTCCACAGTCTTAACTCCAGACAGTATTATTTTATTTTCTTTTTAATGTTCCCTGGAACTATGAACAATGAGATCTTCCTCCTTGGCTTGTCCTACTGCACTTGAAGCAAAGTAGTTGATAGCTGTTATAAGAATGGATTTAGTTTACTAACTTGCACAAGCAACCATGCCTAAAAGGAAACCCCAGTAACTGCAAAAGCGTGGCCAAGAATTGGTGAAACGAATACATTTGTTATCCGCTTGTCCTTTCTGATCACAGTAGCTGCTTGTTGTGTGATTGCATTTTCAAATATGAGCTGCAGAGTAATTATATTTATGATGATAAGAATTTTCTGTAACAGTTATAAAACCACACCACACTTGCAAAAGTATCCAGGGTAATATCTCTTTAAAACAAAACAAACAAATAAAAAACTGCTTAATTTGACCTCCAAAAAAGTCATCATCTAACTTTCTGTTTGCTGCTTTGTGTTGCATGTATTTTGTGTCAATTCTGCCATTTATTTGCTAGGATGGAAGATAAATAATTTTTCTGCAGTTTTTTTTTTACATTGCATGCTTTGCCTAAGAGCCTGTCTCATTTGCTCCTGACATCCTTTCTGTATTTTCCATGTGCAAATATTTTTAGAAAAAGCAGTTCAAGTTATGCAAACAGTTGCCTTATATGTATTTTGTCAGTGAAGCATTTCTCCTTTTTCATTTTGTTTACTTTTTTGCATGTAATTTATTGATTCAACATACTTTTAGCTAGGAATGGCTGTTTCATTATGCCCTGTGTGGTGACAATTGTAGCAGCAGAATGATTGATAATCTATCAATTATGATGTAGCTTTATGAAAGTCCAGTGCATGAATTTTCAGTCCTACTTTTGTGTTAACCTTCGATTGTATTTGAATGTACTTCGATGAGAAAGCATCATCTTTGGTAACTTTTAATAGCCATTTCCCAGTATAGCTGACTAGAATGTTGACAACAATTAAATATATTATTGAATATTAATAAGGTACTATTTGTTGTGTGCTGATTTTTTCACTTCCTGAGAATGTTTTTCCTTTACAAAAAACTGTAGTATAATCTTAACTGGGCACTGATATTTAAACAAATATATTAATTGGGGCTTTTCAGATCACAACAAGTTTTCAAAACAACGAGACAATTTCCTTTGAGTAGAGAATGCATCACATGTAAATGTTAATGCAGGATGGAATGTGGGAAAGTGATATTTTGAAACAGAATAAATAAGTTTTTCCTCCATAGACTTCACATTTCCCAGGCCTATAATCCAAATATATATATATTTTTAAATTAAAGCCACATAATTTGTGAAAAATGGTCTTTGTTTTAGGTCTTTGTTTATTTTTTAAATTTAGTCTCCATTTTATGGGATTGAGTTGTGTTTTCTGGGTGTGTTGTGACCAGTCTGTATCATTAAGTGCTTTTAAAGTGTGTGTGTGTGTGTATATATATACAAATAATGGGCAACACTAAAACTTTAGCAGAGATAACACATTAGAATCTAGTCAAAAGGCAGAACATCTTATATAAACATTGTTCCGCCTTTTGACTAGACTCTTCTGTGTTATCTCTGCTAATGTTTTTAGTATTATCCACCCATTATTCGGGTATTTATAAAAACTTCCTGGTAATAAGTAATTATACAGCAAATGCAGCAGCTATATAGGGCTTGGGTTTTGACGGAATGTATGATTAAAACTGAAACCAATTATATCTGACCTGTAGATCTTTTAAGTGGCTGGTTCCTTGCTATGAACAGAAATGTCATTGTTTTCTACCAGTACACTGACTGTCTGGAAGTTCTCAGTTGCAGGTAAAAACAAGTTATTTTTCTCTTAGTTGATCCTCTTCACGATGTGTGTGAATTAGTCTTTTAACTACATTGAAAGTTCAATCTTTTATTTACCTCATCTGTAGAGGTGGTGCTGCCTTAAACGATGAGAGAATTTGACTGTGCCTAAGCAGCGGAAAACTGATACACTTGCCTTGTAAGTTTGTATTTCAGGACTGGCATGTGCTTTGCATGTAGTGATGTGGTTCGGGTAGGTTGCCGAGGAGATGGCTGTGTAGAATGCCGAGCTAAGTGGTAAGACAGGATAGTACTAGAAAGGGTGGCATTTATACCATTTTTTCAAAAGCTGGATTTTTGTGTAATATTTAGGAGCTTTTGCAGGCATGCAGGGTGTTTGTGCGTATAGATAGATCTACATTTACTGGAGCAGGTTTTATTTTTGTAAACAAACTCTTCCAGGTTAACAGTTCAGAATTCATAGGTAGCAAGTAGAAATTGACTGGTGGTGGTAGTTCTGGTGAAAGGCAGTTAAGTTGTCATTATTGTGTGTTGTTAGTTTTTAGAAAATGTGAACTATATAAAGAACATAATATATATATATTAATACATTTTATTAGATATTATGAGGCTTTTTATTAGGTTGGGGCAGAATTTGGAGTTTCGTTGTTTGTTTTAATTGTCATAAGCCACCTTCAGCCATGGAAAAATGCAGGATCTAAATGTGTTAATAAATAAGCATATGACAAAGCAAATAAATTGGTAGTAATAATCTTATAGCACTTACCAATTTTGCCAAGTGCTTTACAATTCAGCCTCATTCAGCTGCCTATTTGTATGCTTTTGCTTCAGATTTTTCTATTTTTGTGCATGTTTAGAGTGTAAGTGACCATAGACATCGACGAGGACACTGTGTGTTAGCCCAGTATATAGTCCATTGCTTTCATACATAAAGCCATTGCAGTCAGTGGAACATATACCTACAGCAGGTTGCAGTGTTATGTTGTGTGCTGGGGGAACAGGATAATGTTTATGCAGTTTTTAAAAAATAAAATAATAATAAAACAAACATTCCTGCACTTAACACGATAAAAACAAAGGAGAAGGTGGCACAAGTGAGTGGTGACGTATTCGTAGAGACATTCACGTATATGATTGTGACAGGTCTGGCACTGAACTCCTAAATATTAAAAGCTAATCCCATACATTTCAATGCAGACTTCCTCCAAGTATACATGTTTAGGATTCTAACCTGCAATTTGAGTGAAGTGTGCTTTGTATACAGTTTCTCCCTTGATTTCCCCCATCGATAAGCATTCATTCTGCACATATTTCTAATTAATGTTGTCAAAAATTATTTTCTGACTCAGATGATGAGTTCTGATGACTGCCTTAATTTTTGTCCTACAGCATTACTAATGAGGCAGGAGCCTCTATATATAGTGTGAGTCCCGAAGCTTGTAAAGAGATGCCAGATCTAGACCCTAACCTACGAAGTGCAGGTAATTACTGGTTGTTTCTTACTCTTACATCAATCAGCATGTACTGTATACTTTATAATCATTAAGTAATATCTGATGATGCAGGGGGCTTGGGTTTAAGGAGAGACAGGACTGAGATTAAATTAATGCTGACACGTGTTACTTTCTTTTATTAATCCTTTGAACTTTGCACACTACACATTGGCTTTGTCTTGGGTGGTCATCCAAAGAAATTGTATACTGAAAGCTCCCTTAACCTAGAGGTCTTGGATATCTTACTTGTTGATTAGAGGGTTCCAAGGAATAAATGGGACAAAGAGCTTTTCTGGTATTTACGTGAAATGGAAGCCAGCAACATTTTCTGTTCCAGGTCTGTTTAAAGCTATGCATATCTCTTGCTTTCACCTGATGATGTACCAACATGTGTGATATGTCTGATAAATTTTTATCTTGACAATTTGATGTGTGCTTCCTAAATAGAAAAAAAATGTATAGTGGAAATTAACGGAGAATTGCATGGAATCTTTTTTAAATGTGCTATCTCAGCCATATTCTATAACTACTTGCACCATTAATCATGAAATTGAATTAAAAACATAGTATTTACAAATTGACTAAATCAAAATAGAAAGCAATATAAAGTAGTAAGGTAAGTCACGTGCACACAAACAAACAGTTAAGCACTTCAGCACAAAAAGAAGACCAAGAAAATGATAAAACAATTAAGAAAACCCTTGGCCAAATTAAAAGGCTCTTTCCAAGTGTGTCTATAGATGGCACCAGGTGAACTGCTATACGGGAGGACATTCCACACCAAGGCACTGCCACAGAAAAGGCCCTGTCTCTGGTTGCTGGCCATCCTTTTTCAGAAGGTGGAGGCACAAAGAGTAGAGCCTGTGATGTTGATCTTAACTGGCAGGCAAGTTTGTTTGGGGTTGTACAGGCAGGTTGCATCTTACTTGTAGACCATGTCACTTACTTTCACAGAATGTAGAAAGCTGAAACTTGGTACACACCCATTCCAGCATTCACTGAAAAGGGAATATTTTCTCATAACAGTGGCCTGGGCTCTAGCACAGTGCTAGTCAAGACTCTGGGAGTTTCAAAATAACTTTAGATGAATTGTGAGGGAGTTTATAATAGGAGCCAGAATTTTGTTAACCAAGTTAGTGACAATACGTGAAACTGCCTCTTTCACTCACATTGGCTTCAGCTTCAGGAAGTGGAGATTGTCAGTGGCAGGAGGAACATGCCCATGACTGAATGATGCAACCTGTATTTATTACTACTTTAAAATGTACTGTTGGCTCTGGCTCTCCTATATTTTCACATGTTGGTTTTATGTTCTTGACAGTGCCTTTTCTAAGGCATTAATCTAACCAATTTAAACTCAAAGTAATAAGGAGGACACAATGGTTCCAGAGGGGGTAGCCATGTTATTTTGTTGCAACAAAGAGAAGTCATGTGACACCTTAATGATGGGCAAGTTTTTATTCTAGCACACGGTTTTATGGACTAAAGTCCACTCAGAAAAATTGTAAGTTCTCCAGACCTGCTCAAGGTGCCTCAGAACAATAAAACAAAATGAAGCATACAATAAAAAAACAATTTATAGCAATTATAATATGATTTTAAAGAACTCAAGTCAGTAAAAAAATACTGCATCAGATGCTTGCAGTGGGGCCTCTGGGGGATGTTGCTCATCAAACTCTGCGTTTCTTCTTGTTTTTCACATCACTGTGCTTTTTCTTATTGCTATTTATATGTGGATTTTTAAAAATACTGATATTAATTCAATTTTCTTCTTTTCTAATCCTTATGTTTCATTTACTTCCCACTAATCTGTATGCCTAATTGTGTTTGGCCTCTTCTCTTCATCCTGTTTTTATTTTATTATATACAGCTGTACAGACCACAGTCCCAATCATTTATCCAAGTACATTTGAGAACCATTTTGTACAGTGTAACCCTATTAATTCAGCTTAGCACAGTTTGAGGAAATTCAGGAGAGTGGGAGCTTTCTTGACCTCCTCAGGCAGGCCATTCCACAAGGCAGGTGCCACAACGGAGAAAGCATGTTTATGTACAGTTGTTGATTTTGCCCATTTGTAGATTGGCACCTGCAGAAGCCCCTGCTGACATGAGCAAAGTTGTCATGGCAGAACATAGGGAGAACAGCGGTCCCAGAAATAAGAGAGGCCAGGGCCCTGAAGGGCTTTCTTTGTGATAGTCCATACCTTAAACTGAGCCCAGTAACAGATAGACATTGAATGGAGTGTCTGCAGAATGGCAGTAATGAAAGATAATAATAAATATTATTATCAATACATGTCCTCAGGAAGCTATAAAACAAAGTCAAGTGACCTCAACTTGTGTGGACTTGTGCCATATTTGTTTGGTGGAAGAACAGAGTCCTTACCCTCTTATGTATCACACAAATAGCATCTCACATGAATGGATACTTTACATAAACAGTGCATGGAATTCATGGAATTCTTCCTCTTTCAAAGAGGAGAGGTACTGAAAATCGGTGTGTTTCCACCAAGTGCTGCGCATCAAAAATGTTTAAAAACCTCATACTAACTCAATTTTATATCAATTGGTTTAAACCAAGACCAAATGCTTGAACTGCATCCTCCCGTGGCTATCTTTACCGATTTGTCTTGGGCTTTTCAAAATGCTGACCAGCATAAATTTAGGCATGTTGTTTTCATTTTTGCAGAATTATTAGATCACAAAAGGGTGGATGAGTGGCAAATGGAGGAATCTACCTTCAGTAAAGGCTAGAATGGAAGTTTCTTTAATGTATAATGTCAGAACTCAGTTTCCTAGTGCATGAAACATAGTTCCCTACTTTATAGCTATGTTGTGTCATTCTTCTGTCATAAAGGTGATGTTCATGAGGCTCCCAGTCTCCTGTGTAGTTATTCAGCAGTACCTGATCTACTTAGCTTAGCCTTAATTTCCAGCCTATCCATGCACTGGCTTTTTATTCACATTTCAGTATGCTTAAATGCAGTAGTTGTTTCTTAAAACAAACATATGGACATCCCAGTTTAGGTGAGTGAAATACTTATCATGCTATATTAATTCTATCAGTCTTCCAAAGGCGATTCCCGAGGTGGTAGTTTCCTGTGTCCAGCTCTGGTTACTTGATTCATGTTCCTGTCTCTCCCTGATTCTGATGATGGTTGCCACCATCTCTCCTAGACCTGTGGGTTCATGCAAGTCTGTGCTTTCCCCCCTCTGTTGTAGTAGAGAAAGTGGCAAAAAACTGATATCCTCCTACCAACCTCACCAGACCTTGTGTATCTACGTGAAGCAGCACACTCCCACTGCCTCTCTTTTTAGCTTCAAGGTTCAGTAACTGTTAAGGCAAAAGGGAAGTCACAAGCTACCTTCAAATAACACAACAAATAGAATCTGGGACAAATGCAGCTTGCTTTCATGCCACTCTTTGTCTTTTCCTCTTGCACACAGACGATTGGAAACATCCTAGTTTGGAAAGGATTTAATTGGCTCCAGTTTGCCATGATGTCCAAGTGCAGGTACCTGCATCCAGACATCACAGCATTTTGCAGCATGATTAAAGTCTTCCTAGAAAAGTTTTCAGTTGCCCTTGTGTGAGAGGGAAGGAGATCACAAGCATTAGAACATGGGCAAACAAACTTTTGTCCTTAATATCTGAATGCAAAGAGAGACAGGCAGGTAGCACTGATCTTTCGCAGCTCTTTGTAACCTCAAGATAAACCATCAGTGGCAGTATCTAATCAGCTCCAGCTTGCTAGGAGAGGGAGCTATTGGGATTTGCCTCAGGGAGCTGTTGGGATTTTAGCTGGCCACCTAACAACCAAATTTTCTGCTGATAAAAATGGAAGGAGGGGTCCTCTTTGACCACCAAAAAAGGTTATGATGAGGATCATGGGATCTACAAGCCTTACTGGCTTGTTTTTAATATTGTGATTATTTTAATTATAAGCTGCCTGAAGCAGGACTCTGCAGAAGTGACATAGGAGTACCCTAAATTCATACATGTACAAAAGCTATGAGGGACTGCGGACCCACAGGAGAGGAGAATTGCACCAGACTGGGTGCGTTCAGACGGGCATTTGAGTCGGTATACGAGCTGGTTAGAATCAGAGTACTTATGCGTGATCACACAGCCAACATCTGCCTTCCGTCCCTAACTGTTCAAAACACCCTTTAAATCGATGTATTCTGCTACTAGGTCCCCAAGTGGTGGTATCCTGAGTGCTTCAGTTCATTATCCCCATCTGATCGCTCTCTGCCGGTGTAGTGCCACTTCTGTTTGGAAGCCTGAGGCTTCCACTTTTCGGCCACCATTTTTTTTTTAGCCTCCTCGATGTGCGCTTGGGAGAAGCTTTGCCCCGGCGTTTGTAAAAAAAAAAAAAAGATGCTTAGTTTTAGGCTGCGGACGAGTCCAGGACCTCATGGAGGCCCTTTTCGCTGTAAAAGTTTAAAGGGTAGTCTTCGCTTCAGGGCATGCTTTTTGGGATGGGGTGTTCTGCGCCTGCGCGAAGATCTGAACTCTGGATGGCTGCCTATGTGCATGTGCAGAATGTAAAAAAAAAATTAAAAACCTGCCGACACGCACTCTGTGCGTCAGTAGTGTGAACAGGCATATCGCGATATGCTGCGCAGTCAGGAGGTGAGTGTGATCGTGTTTCTTCCGGATCAAACTGCTCTGGTTCCAGGGCTGGCTGGATCCAACCCATGGAATCCATCACACTGCAGAAAAAGTTTGCCAATGCTGACAGCACTCAATGACGCATATCGATATTAGTTGGGTCTTGTCTTGTTTCTGTTTTAGTTTTTGTTCCTCAAGTTATTTGGAAGACTGTAATAAGCAGTAAATGCAACCAATGTATGTGCGCCGTTAAATACCTGCCTCCCAAGTGAAGCAACGGCATTTGGCTTGTCCTGTAGAGTTAGAAAGATGTCCAGTAGTTTATGAAATTAGTTTCTGCCCTGCTTTGTTTTATGACTTCCTTGATCCTTGT